TCAGCCTCTCGCAGACAGGTAGATGAACTCACAGGCTCAACCTGAGAAATGTTCCTTAGTAGTTTAGTAGTAGATTCTGATCTACCATCAGATCGAAATCGGCATTCTTATCTCTAGACAAATTTTTTGTTATGAACATGTAGAAGATGGTATTATAGGGGACTCTTCCAACAAGCAGCTTGAAAAATTAATAATCCGGGTGTTGTTTAGTACTTGTATATATCAACCGTAGCAGTTATGAATGTCTGGTCTACATTTTAGCGATTTCATTTTATTGCATTAAAACTCTCAGGAAAAGTTATAGATTCCGCTGCCAATTATTCAACTCCTAAAATCAACTATCTTTGTGTTTATAAGTGGAAAAAGAATGTTTTAGTGTGTACTATTAATACTATTGCATAGTATGTTGAGGCTTTAGTTGTCGGACCCGCAATTTACAACAGACTCGAGTCTGCCAATGTGAGCGATATTTTTCCAAATGTTTCCGTCATCTAGAAGTCAAATTATTACACTTACTAAATCCATCAGTTCCGTCACAAAATGCAAATCCTAATTTTGGATTAACGGGCACTTATGTGGAAACTCATCTAGAAAAAAGTGAGAAAACAAACACCATCTTATTCAAATAATATTTTAAAGAAATGTCGGTTATGGTAAATTACAAAGACAAAATTAAAAAATTGCAGTTCCACTGAGAAAGTCTCAGTAAATGACCACCATTTTACTGAGATTAATAAATATAATTCGTTTTTAATAATTTATAAAATTAAAACAAAAAATATACTGTTATTTTTTTTTTATTTGGTGTCTTTTTTTAACAACACGCCATGTAATTTAATATAGTCTGATTTCCAATAGCTACAGTTTCCAGGAGATAACAAATCCAGGGTGTGTTCAATTTGAGGAGTACCATAATTTTGTCACGTGAATCTTTTAGATTTCAATAGTCTTAGTCTCTCAAGTATTGATGTGATTGGTGATTAACATCTAAAGTTGATCACACCAGAGACCAGTAGATGGCAAGTGAATACCACCCATGCTTAAATCTTCCAATGAAATTGAATGGTTATTGTGTAATCTAATCAACAACTATACACAATAATTATGTATAAGCAGATTATTATTAAAATATTTGCATTATATTGTGTACTATAACTTAATACAACATATTTTTAAAATACTTTCAGGAAAGATCTTCAAGCATGGGAACTAAAAATGGTTTCAATTGGTCGGACAGATCTAGTTAGATCGAAACCAGCCAAAGAGAAGAAAACCAAAAAAGTTGATAGTTCACAATAGGAACTCGGGTGCTCTGATGATGCTGATTCCATACTTACCGATTCGCCAATTGTCGATATGAAATCAGTACAAAGCATTGATAAAGATGTTAAAACTAGTCAAATAATTCCACTAAATTCAGACAGTATAGGTAAAGATCAAAGGGAGACAGATACAAATCATCAGAGCACGGGTGACCAAGTTGTGTATGACAAACAGACTATAAGTGACAGCACTAAGAACAAAAAAAGTAAGGGTTTCATTAGTAGTATTAAAAGTTTCTTTAAGCATTAAGTGTTTCTCAGCTTCCTAATTATGTTCATTTGCATTAATTTGGTTTCATATTATTATGTATTTTGTTTACATTAGATGTAGCTATTAAAGTTACTCACACATCATTAGAAATGTCTTTTTATTTGCTCATTTTTTCCTAATTCGTATATTATAATTTTTTTGAGTTTGGCACATACACATATTTTTGTTTGATTTGTGTATTGGACAGAAAAAAGTACATAGCCCAAATGATCATATACTTGTAAGTTGGAAGGTATTGTATGCAACGTGAAATGAGACTGATTACCTACATTGAACATTGATATGGCATGAAACGAAATTAGATGAGATGGGATAACACCGTTAGTGTTGAATGAGATGAAATGAAAAAATCTCTAAGCTTTATTTTTATTTTTTAGATGGGTGGACGAGCTCACAGCCCACGAGTGTGCTTAGTGCGAGTTTTTTAACGTTCTCGATAGCGTAAAAGTTAGCTCATACATATTTGTATGGAATGGGATCGTTTGCCTAAGTTTGCCACTAGGGGCGCTGTTCCAACTGCATACAAAATTGGGCTAACTTTTACGCTATCGAGAACGTTGAAAAACTCGCACTAAGCACACTGAGTGGTTATGTTGTTACTGGAGCCCATAGACATCTACAACGTAAATGCGCCACCCACCTTGAGATATAATATCAAACCGAAACGCATTACTGCTTCACAGCAGAAATGGGTAGGGCGGTGGTACCTACACGTGCGGACTCACAAGAGGTTCTACCACCAGAAAATTGGTAAAGTAAAGTAAAGTAAATTGGTAAACCTTTACCTACTATGAACTTTTTAGAAGCCGAGAAGCCACGCCCAATAATAATAGATTGCTTTTAATGATAAAACCACGATTTGCACGCCTTTGTTATTACATCATTAACTTTTATTATTTGAATTACAATTAAATATAAATAAATAAAAAATAATAGATTCCAACAAATATCAAAGCCGCAAAATTGGGCACCTAATTACTGGTGGTGAACCGTATCGTAAACACGCATGGGCATCCACCATTATTCGTGCTCTTGTCGCGATGCAGACATACGTTCCGGCTTTGTAATGTGGGACAAATGTTATACAATACAGTTGAAACTTCGATGGTGTTGGTATGATGGTATTCATGGTGTGTTGCCTATTGGCTCCGGTAAGTATCTAACACCTGGTCGGTTGTGATCTCGTCCCATCTATTCAATACAGAAGCAACTAGAAACTGAATAATGCATTTTAATGTATATTATTATATTTATTTATTTTGCTATCAAACCATGAGTAGCCAGATTACAAAACAAAACGCCCGCCGACCTAGTTACGTACCTATTCTTTCAGGATACCGCGGTTCAGATCGCCATTTTACAGTTTAATAAGTACCTATGTTCAATGACGACCAAACTGAAATAAACACATTTGAATATCTGAACTTTGATCTTCAAACGATTTCAAGAGTTTTTGGCAGTAGGTGACAGTTACAGTTATATTCCCTTTAGGACTAAGACACTAAAGTATGAAATCTAGACTAAGATGATAATCGCAGCTTCACCGTGGAGGTTTAGACTTAGAAACTTTTTTGCGTAATACGCATTGATGACGCCTCCTGAACCGAAACTAGAGTCGCAAGTCCATCGGCATGGCATTCTCAAAGTTCCTCTCTCGGCAACACGATGACACCCGGCACACGCGCGGTGAATCCGAGGATTGCTAATATTTAAAAATAATTTCTCATTTATCACATGAAATCAAATTGAACAGGCTGGAGAAATTTAAATTAAACCTGTTTGAACCTCTTAAACATGATCCATTTTAGAATTCACCAAGAACCAAACTGCAGTACTTTTTCATCACAGTAATTTAATTTTTACAAATAGGTTTAGCACATTTTATGAACTTTTAAAATACATTTTATTATCTTACAGTGAGGACTCTCATTTTAATTGTTTACTAGAAGATGTAAGGCAGAGAAGCACACAAATGTTCCATTCCAACTTTTTATTTCAAACATTAAGAAATATATTAATTAAAAATATATTATTATTTATTTCCAGACCTTTAGTTTAAATCTTGAAATTAAGCTGATATTTAATTTAAAATGCAAATTAGTAGGTAGATTTTTAAAATTTAATAACAGAAGAATTATAAATTAAAGGGGAAGTTTGTGATTTTACGAAGTACATAAAACTACACCTATGTAAAATAATTACATATTTGTTCTTTGGTAATACGACTTTTCACACTACATAGGTACCAGCTTAACTCCATAATCAAATACCGTAACCATTACATTTTAGTTTAATTATACTTAATCTGCATATTAGTGATGTTAATTTTCACAACACAATTCATTAAGATGATGATAATACATTGAAACTGATAAATATAAAAGTATAAACATGATACATATAAAGAAATGAATACTGAATTGTCTTAGACAGTTTTTATTGCTTTCTGAATAGGTTAGCATTATGAACTCTGCACTATTCGAAGTCAGCATGGATGTTAAAAGCAAAACCTCTTGTCTTCATTTTTCAGTATGTGAAATAGTTATTCTTAAATTTACTAACCAAAGATATCTTGTACATAATATGTACATGACTAATTCTGACAACACAGAGTTTGACTAAAAAGAATTAATTTTAACACCTTGAAATAAACAAGAGATTAACCCATAAATGTTTTTAATCATGTCTACACTCTAGAAAAGTATAGTAATGGATTTAATGTGTATGTTTAAGCTATATAATTTACTTGGGATTTTTTTTTTCTGGTGTTTATTTGAATTTTATGAAACTAAATGCACAAAAATTTTAGTCAAAAACATTAAATTTCATAATTAAGATTATCATCCCAGAAAGAAATGTTAGAAACAATTAGACATCAGATATTTAGAAATGTCACAAAGAAAATTCTAAATTTTCTGCAGATTTTAGTAACTATAATGCAAGAACAAAAACTCAAGTATTAATATTATAACTACTTTTGTATTTACTATTTTGAGCAAATAAATTTGTTTTAACTTTATGACATGTATATACATATTAAATTTATTTATTAAACACTAAAAATGGCAATGTGATTAAAATGCATGTATATCGCAACTTCTCATTTACAGAGCTTGTTAAAAGAGCACTAATCAACCAACGTTCGTCATACATCTGAAAGAAACTATTCTGAGAATAAATACATATCGACGCTTGAAACGCAAACGTGACTAAGCGACAATGCGTGAACTTTACAGTAGACTAATTTAAAGTTGCAATACCTGAAAACAAAATTTATTTTAACGAATCTAGTTTTAGTAGAATCTAGCTAGTAGCTGTAAGATTGAAACGATTTTAATAGACCTAGAAATATTTTTTTTTGCGCATTGAATATGGTTATTGCCTATCATTTATGTACAAAGCACTTATTGTCGCTTAGTCACGTTTGCCTTTCAAGCATCGATATACTAAATGAATGACTGCATAAAAAATAGTAAAAAAATATTTCTTTTTCTTTTTTACATGGTTGAAGCAATTTGAAAATTAACTGTTCAGTAGCCAAAAACTTCAATTATTTTTAACCTATAGGCCGATCTTTGTCTAGCTAATCAGTCATTCATAAATTTCAAGAACAGTGCCTTAGAGGACTGTGATATACTCATAAACAGATTGTATGCAAACAGTCACAAATAGATAAACAAAAATGTCCCTTACAACTACAGCTAGGCTTTGGGCAATGTAAATAACATTTTTAAGTCTGTTGGACATCACACTATTTATGAATAACATTGCATTTGTAGTGTTTGAATTGTCTTTAGGTGGAAACCATATGATTTTTGTCACCGAGTATATAAATATTGGTAAAAATAAATTTGTTGTATTTGTCAAAGGGTTAAAACTATAGTATATTTGCAACAAAAATGACATTAATACCATGTCGTATTTGTGTACTAAGAGTAAGGTTTTCAATGAAGTTCGTGAATTCCGTGGCGTTCTCTGCGCACGGGATGGAAAAGGTGAAGGGTCATCGACAGGTTCTCCATCGCCTGCTGCTGTCTCAGGACCGAATATTGTTAAAGGTTCTTGTGAGGTGTGGTCAGAAACTATAGAGTCGTTAATGCGTACTCCACTTTCATCCTGATGAGCTGCTGTAGCTGGAATCTCGATATCTTGGCTAGAATCAACTGTCCTGACCGGAGATCCTATTAGCAGAAAATTTGCAATAAGCAAAACAAAAAATTAAAAACATGACTTAAATATTATATATTCACTGATATGAAATAACCTCGGGCACAACTGTCGGCGCTTTTTCCAGTCAAAAATTGAAGCCGGCTTTGAGAATTTTCTAAAATTTTTCTTCGGCGAGCTTCGCGACGAGCTGCAGCTGCTTCAGCCATTTTTGACGTTGCAATGACGTAAAGTAAACCTACACAATAGAGTAGATGCACATAGACTATTTCGCCTTCTTTGAGGGATTTTATGACCTAGTTACTAAGACCTTTAAGTCGTCCTATTTTAATTTGTATTCTTAATTTTATGAAAAATGATAATATGGAGTGAAATGAAGATGATTAATTTGAGACATTAATCAACTGGGATGAAATTAAATGATATGGGATGAAATGTAATCTCAGTAAAATGGTGCTCATTTACTGAGATTTTTTCAGTGGACTTCTTACGGCCTGGCCACGGGGATCGGCGGTGCGAACAGCGAAGCGGTGGACGAGGCGACCATTCGCGCAGCACCGTTTGCAGGCCACGGGTACTCACGTTCGCCGCCGCGACTAGTAAGGAAGTCCGACAGCGAAATGTCTATATCGAAATTATCTCGATATTGCTTACAAATTAATAGTTTTTTGGTTCAGGACCTATTATTTGGAAAAGATTGTGAAGTACATGATTTGAATAAGAATCGGAGTATACCTATAGATGGAGAATTCCACAAGAAGTACGAGAAATACTTTGGGTGGCTAGACTTCCAAATAGCTGGTCTAGCTAGTATTTCAGCTATTTTATTTTTTTATTGCTTAGATGGGTGGACGAGCTCACAGCCCACCTTGTGTTAAGTGGTTACTGGAGCCCATAGACATCCACAACGTAAATGCGCCACCCACCTTGAGATATAAGTTCTAAGGTCTCAAGTATAGTTATAATGGCTGCCTCACCCTTCAAACCGAAACGCATTACTACTTCACGGCAGAAATAGGCAGGGTGGTAGTACCCACCCGTGTAGACTCACAAGAGGTCCTACCACCAGTAATTACGCAAATTATTATTTTGAAGATTTCATTTTTATCACACGATGTTATTCCTTCACCGTGGAAATCAATCGTGAACGTTGAGTGTTGTTGAGTACGTATTTCATTACAAAAATTGGTACCCGCCTGATATTCGAACACCGGTGCATCGCTCAACACGATTGCACCGGACGTCCGTTAGGCCACGACGACTTTAAAAATATAAAATAAAAAATAAATAAAAAATATAAAAATTTCGGCGTTAATTTTTCGCGGCGAAAACAACTAAACTCATTTAATCACTGTACTATTCGCCGCGACTACCGCTCGACTCCGTGGCTCGCGCCGTCCGTATTCATGCATTTGTTTTGCTCGCCCGCCGCATCGCGCGATTCGCTCGGTACATTTCGCCGGTCGCTTCGCCGGTCGCCGGTGCGCGTGGCTTGTTAGGTACATTTCTATGCTCTTATTTTAGTCGCTAGACGCTTCGCCGTTCGCACCGCGCGAATATTCGTATCGGCGAATGTCCCGTGGCCAGGCTGTTAGAGGATCCCGATAAGCTACGTCCAGCGGCTTTGTTTCGTTTTCCCACATTTGTGCACTTTCACATATATTAAACAGCTAATAAACCACCGTTATTACACATTTAAACCTGAAGAAACGCTAAATAGACAAAATAAAACAAATCACACAACTTCACTCCTCACGTTCCCGCCAAAAGGCCCGCTCATAGACTACTTAGAGATACGAGATAGATACTACAAGATAAAATACTTATAATATCTTTGTGAACATTCAGCACGTAGATTCAGCAACTTGGTTTGACGTACATATGCTGGAGGACCTCCAGAAATGAGAAAATATTGAATAGAAACAACAAAGAGGACGGACAAAAAAAGATAATTAGTGCGAAAGTGATATCGGTGCCTACAGACATTAAAACGTGAATATCGCGACTCATCGAGTGGGCTCTTACACTCTTCAGCCTAGAAATAAATAGAAACAGAACCAGCGCTATGGCCTAGCATTGTGCGTTCTCATCAGTAAATAAGCATTGCCGATCGCATTACGCTTATAATATATTATCCCTGTTTTCCAATTACAGCACAAGAGCGTATTCTGCAGCATAATGCTCAACGTTGAATATTCCAACTACAGCAACGCTTCGCACAATCGAGCACTCTCAAAAGTACTGCTCTCGCGTGACACTCGCAATCACTCGCAATCGATATAGACTCAGTGACAGAAAATTGACAAGTGTTTTTTCTTTAGGTTGGCATTGTTCGAAATTTTATATAAATTATCGTTGAGCATTATGCCGCATAATGCGCTCTTGTGCTGTAATTGGAAAACAGGGTATAATATGTGATTGCCATAGTCCGACTAAGGCCTAAGCCTCTAATCGCATACGTGACCTTCGAGAAAAGATCAAATAGATGGTGCTTTTCTTAACTGAAATAAAACAACCAATTACGATACTACTAGACAGGATTGTAATGATTATTATTTAAAAAAATATTCAGTTAAGAAAGGTATTTATCGACTATGTATCTCCTTCCTGATTTTCACTTTTAGAAAGATTCATTTCAAATACATACAGAAATAATAGATAAAAATTATTCTTATTTATATTATGTACGCTTTTTGCATTACAAAGATTTAAAATGAACATCTACATAATTTGTAAGCTTATAGACACCATTGATACAACATTAGCCTAGTTATACAAAAACGTAGCCGTCTAGCCCAGTTTTACATATTTCGAGATCAAGTCCATGTCTTTTTAAGTAGAAAGTGAAATGATATTGTCATATCACTTTTACCTGAAAATCATATTTTTATAAAATCAATTTTAACATTCACAAAGTAATAGGAATATACGAAGACTAATAGTTTAAGCAGCTATGATAGAAAGAAGAAAAAGAAGGCTAGAAGAACATAGCTAGTGAACAATTCCAAATTCATTTAATATTTCATCTGACGATGCTAATCTATGGCTGCATCATGAGAATGGCGAGGTCGAATTTACTTAGATTGGTGATCTGTGGCATAGATAATACACTTAATTTTTGAGATCTGTGGTCGAAACAGGAAACAGAAACAGCAACGCTAAGAATTTTGTTTGGCGCCTTTACCGGGCCGGCCTGAGTTATCAGATAATTACGTTGAAGTTCCATAAAAATAAATTCTGTTACATACAAAATGGGAGATAAAGGAGACGGAGGTAAATGATCAAGTATTGGAAGTGGTTATGTTTCTTTGTGTTTTTTAATCTGCCGACTCTGGAATGACAGCTAACAGTTTTTGGTTATCACACTTCGCCTATCAGTAATGTTTTAAAAATTGTAGAAACCTTCGATGACGCGGTTGAAGAGAGAGTAATCAACGAAGAATATAAAATATGGAAGAAAAATACACCATTTCTGTACGACTTGGTGATGACCCATGCACTGGAGTGGCCCTCGCTCACTGCCCAGTGGCTCCCCGATGTCACCAGGCCAGACGGAAAGGATTATTCCGTACACAGGTAAATTTAAATGCATATGGGGATATTAATACTTGAAACAAACTCTTTTAACAAACTTAACGTTTTTACAACTAAAATGCAATATTTAAATCTATAAAAATTCTATTTAATAATTTACTTCATACTATATCAATATAAATAAATTTAGACCATTATCATTGTAATAAGTAATTACTATGAATAGGCCGAAATGTTACATTTACATATTTTTGTGCAGACTTATCTTAGGAACACACACATCTGATGAACAGAATCACTTGCTGATCGCCAGTGTGCAACTACCTAATGAAGATGCACAATTTGATGCCAGCCATTATGATAATGATAAAGGAGGTTTGTGATGAGCATGACCTAAATTTCTAACTTAGACTTTAACTAGGTATTAGCACATAAAAAGCGAATTGAAAAAAATCAAACTGACATAAATTGAAATTGAAGGTAGTTGGAACTTTTGTTACGTTCCACAGAATTAACACAGGAGATTCATTCTCAATTTATATGTCGTGAGTTATTTAAAAACTATAAAGCACTTATGCATATTTTTATATATTTTTTAAGTTTTTAATGAACACTATGTGTGTCTTCTAGGTTGTTGAGGGACCAATACAGCGTGTATTTTCGAAAAAAATTGGCACCCGCCTTTCATATTTCATTAATGTAGTACCATTTATTTATCTGAATACACAGAGTTCAACAAAGACTTTGACTTGTGAACTGGATGTGAGGCATATTGACAGATAATTATTACCATCTTGCAATTTTTCTGTCATGAAATAGCCATTTACTTAAAGCTCACTTCATGTCCCAAGATCAGTGGTGGTAATCACATTGTGATGTCAGTAAGTTCTAATAACACACCACAGCTTGGGCCGTAAACTACTCCAAGTTTGTGCATTAATAAGGGCATATAAAACATTAAACAAAAGTCATCCTGTTTTACTACTTATCTAGAGGGCTATATGCTTGTTCACCCTGTTCAATAATTCAAGTTATAATAAACAATGATGAATTCAATAGCTTTTACTCCTGTGAAAAAAGAGAATTAAAAAAAATATAACAATTATTTATGAAAAGTGCAGCTAAAGTATATATATATGTTTTAAATTTGTGAATTGGAGATACCTTATGGCAAATGCTAATTTAAAGGCAAATATAATCCATAAACATTATTTATTTCATTTTCTTCTCATGCTTATAGAATTAGGATATAGTTCACCATATAGGACCATATGTGAATTCTGACTATGGTTAATTGCGACATTTACTAATTGTAAAATAAAATAAAACCGTTGAATATGGTAGGATGTGCCAGACCAGACACACATTACACTTTTAACAACATAGAAAAATAAATACTATTTGGCCATATCCATAATTTTATTCATTGTATTCTTTATTACTTCAGAATTTGGAGGCTTTGGTTCTGTATCAGGCAAGATTGATATAGAAATTAAGATCAACCATGAAGGTGAAGTGAACAGGGCCCGCTACATGCCCCAGAATCCTTGCGTCATCGCAACGAAGACGCCGTCGTCTGATGTACTTGTCTTTGATTATACAAAGCACCCCTCCAAACCTGAGCCTTCTGGAGAGTGCCATCCTGATCTAAGGTAAACACTGAATCCGCGATAATAAACAAACAACACAAAACTATTCAGCTCATTTATACTGTAGCTGTCAGTTTTGTACTCATCACCACTTGAAATGCTTACCAGAGTTTTTCTGTCTTTAAATGCTTCTCATGATTAACATCACAAAGTGGACCATTAATTCATTTGCTATTTAGTGCAATAAAAAACAAAATTGTTGAAGCCTTGACATTACAATTTAAACATCAATATCAAGCATATTAGATCGGTTCACAAGCTCTTTTTTATATATTTGTCTTTTTCTTAGGTACCTTGAAAAAAGTAATCTATTAATGTCTATTCAATATCATTTTATATTACAGATTGCGTGGTCATCAAAAAGAAGGTTATGGCTTGTCATGGAATCCAAACCTTAATGGATATCTTTTATCAGCCAGGTTTGTAGCCTAATATTTTATATAAAACTAGCGACCTGCCCTCACTTCGCTTCGGAAACTGTAATTTATTATTGATTTCTTTACTATTTAATGGATGTTATTATACATATAAACCTTCTTCTTCAATCACTCTATTTATTAAAAAAAAACCGCATCAAAATTCGTTGCGTAGTTTTAAAGATTTAAGCATACATAGGGACAGAGATAGCGACTTTGTTTTATACTATGTAGTGATTATACATTTTGTATTCCAGTCTAAGTCTGAACATATAATAGTTCTTCTTGAAATTATTAAAATATAACATGTTTTTTGAAATGTAATTGTCAAATGATTTTTTCTGATTATTAAAGTTGTTTGTCAAAGCCATTATGCCATTAGCCATTTGAATACCGAGTTATAAAATATCTCTTTATTCGTGTTTAGTCTATTGAAGTGTATTGTTGTATGTGTAGTGATGATCATACAATCTGCCTGTGGGACATCAACGCGACGCCAAAGGAGGGGCGGGTCATCGAAGCGAAGTCCGTGTTCACCGGCCACACGGCCGTCGTCGAGGACGTCGCGTGGCACTTGCTACACGAGTCGCTCTTCGGATCCGTGGCTGACGACCAGAAGCTGATGATATGGGACACCAGGTAACAGCAACAACTATCTTTTTGAGGTTCTTTTTTATTGACCCTTGTAGGCAGACGAGCATACGGCCTATCTGATGGTGAGTGGTTACTGTCGCTCACGGACGTCAGCAACGCCTGGGGCAGAGGCAAGCCACAGTTGAAAACTGTCTACCTACCATTTGAAACTACCATTTGAAAAGTTACAATTGTAAATATAAAACATTACATATGAGACAAGATCAAGACCTACTGATTAATTGTGAATTGTACAATACTCACTAACCAAGAGACCGGTTTAAGACAGTTATAATAATAAAATCATTAGTTTGAATATGAAACTGCTTTTCCTATCATGGCATGATAACACAAACAGGAGGTTGTTTTCTCATATTTTTAGCGATAATTAATTATTTGTACTCAGGAATGACTGACACTACTTGTTAATAATTAGTTTTAATTTTTTTAAGTAACAAATTTTGTTCAAGTGTAATAATGAGGTATGCATATAATAATATGGTAGTAATAATTAGTGAAATGATAGAGCACAATTATGTTATAATTACAGATGTAATAATACATCGAAACCATCCCACACAGTGGACGCACACACCGCTGAAGTTAACTGCCTCAGTTTCAATCCCTATTCAGAGTTCATTCTTGCTACTGGCAGTGCTGATAAAACGGTAATGTTACTAATTTTAATTCAAATATACACATCTAACAAGTCAAAACTTCCATAGCGTTTTGCTTATTATTTAATTGTAATATTTATATAATTTAATTAATAAATATTAAATTAACAATTTTTTGTAATTTAACGAAACTTGTGTTCACAAGCTTTGAATTCAATCAGCTCATGTTACACTGAAAAATGAAACTACAGTTTTAATATCATAATAAACTAAATAATAAATAACCTATCCTTAATAATAGGTTAACTACTATAACTATAAATATAATTTCCGTCTAGGTTGCGCTTTGGGATCTACGCAATTTGAAATTAAAGCTACACTCGTTCGAGTCGCACAAAGACGAAATATTCCAAGTACAATGGTCGCCACACAACGAAACTATTCTCGCGAGCAGTGGTACCGACAGAAGGTAAAATTACAGATAATTGGATTTTCAATATTTTTGTAACATTTCATATACAGACAAAAACTCAAAATATTTTTTATTTATTTTTTTATTGCCCTTGTAGACAGACGAGCATACGGCCCATCTGATGGTGAGTGGTTACCGTCGCCCATGAACTTGCCAGGGGCAGAGCCAAGCCGCTGCCTACCCCAAAATAGTACTAGTAATAAACGGTAGATATAATAAAATCAACACCCATAAAAGAAAACAGAGATAATATGAAATTGAAGTTACAAAGTAAACATATAAACTCAGACTTTTTGTGGGCTTACAGCCGCTTTTTGAGCTTGTTTTAAAAATCGTAAACATGTATTTGCTGATTGCTGTATGAGACAATAATTATTGTATCAATTATTTTTTTTTCCTTGTATTTTTAGACTCCATGTATGGGACTTATCAAAGATTGGCGAGGAACAGACAGCTGAAGATGCAGAAGATGGACCCCCAGAATTATTGTTCATACACGGAGGACACACCGCTAAGATATCTGACTTCTCATGGAACCCTAATGAACCATGGGTCATCTGTTCCGTCTCTGAGGATAACATTATGCAGGTATGCTAAAATTATAGGTTGAATGTTTTTAGCTTAGATAGGCACCTTTTGGGAGAAAGCTGTCAGAAAACATTAATATTATAGTTGATCTTAATGCATAAAATATAATTGCTTTGCTAAAATATAATATCTCCCTAGCACATAATTATTTATTGGTGTTAGAACTTCTTGTGAGTACACGTGGGTAGGCACCACCACCCTGCCTATTTCTGCCGTGAAGCAGTAATGCGTTTCGGTTTGAAGGGTGGGACAGCCGTTGTAACTATACTGAGACCTTAGAACTTGTATCTTAAAGTGGGTGACGCATTTACTTTGTAGAGCTCGTCCACATATCTATGCCATAAAAAAAAAAAAAAAACTATACAAATCTAGGCTATTTGATAAATATTTCGGCACATCATCTCGGATCCTTCTAACAGTGCTTTTAGGTACCCCAAGCACCGGTCATCGTTCTCGTCGAACCCGTCGCTTGCGACTCACTGAGTTTCTCGCCGGATCTTCTCAGTCGCGGTTCAGACTTGGTGGTAGCTTCTTAGAATAGGTAGAAAAAAAATATATATATTTGGTACTTGTTGTACATTGATTCGGTGCGGTATCTGTACAGGTGTGGCAGATGGCTGAGAATATCTACAACGACGAGGAGCCGGAGACGCCGGCGTCGGAGTTAGAGTCGGCCGTCAACGTCAACCACGGCTAGTCGTCCTGTCTGTACGACTCATGTGCTCTGTGGAGAGTGTGAAATAACAACATTGTTTAACATTCACTTTTTAATCGTTAATCTGTGAGATAACTCTGCTACAACCGAACAATAATGGGGTACAAGTTTTCGGAACTGTTCTTAAAATATAAATAGAAATTAAATCATGTAAACGTTATACAAAACACTAAAATCTTGTTGGAAAAAATGACATTTATTAAAATGCTTTGTAAATATCATTATGAAATTTAACTACCTAATGATCTGCTATTCTAGCTAATTATCTGAGTTTTTTCGGACTATTACAAACAGCATTTTTTACTTCTAATTGAAATTACCACAAAATTTTATATTTTCAATATTTAAATGCAAAAAGTTGTCCCGTTTTTCATACTTTTCAAACTATTTGACAGTAAACAGTATATTAAACATACAAGTATAGATGTAGTGAGAAACTATTTTCCTTCGGGAAAACTCTTGATCTTTATCGGAATACGATGACACCCGAACTGTCAATGAATGATCGTATTAAATGAGTGACATTTTCATATCCATTAATAAGGAACTTTATTGTTTAGTCTCAAATGTCAAAATGACATTGTATAATATAGAGATGCTGCAACCATAACAATTATTACTTAAAACAGGATATTTACTAGGGTATTATACGAAATGAATTCCCGATATTTTTAAGTAATAATTGTTATGTTCGGGATGTGTGGACATAAGTTTCGTCAGTATTATACACAATATCTGCCTTCAGATCTATACTTCCTTATTAAGTCTACGTACTTTACTCTTTTAAGTCTAACGTCATCTTTTCCATCAGCATTTTCCTATTATTAGCAATTTTCTTCAATAAAAAACCCAGTAGTGTAAAATCACATTCTTTGAAATTCATCGTTTCTATTTATTTGGGCTTTAGTGCTTTTATTGTAGGGACTTGTTTATAAATGAGATGAAAGCTATAAACCATTCGTCGTATCACTGCATAATCAAAATCATCAAGATCTAGATAGATTTTCATGCATGGTCTACCCATCTTAATTTTGTTTGTGTTGGTATTTTTATTATTTCTGTATTCTTCCTCCTGGTTCAAAATATTCTTATTGTTGGTCTAGTTGCGTTTGAAATTCGCTGTTGAACTTTGTCAAAATACTCTTGAGTTGTTGCTGTTTTTGAATTTGCTATTTTCCGATATGAAGTACAGGTAAAACTTAAATAAAACTTTTCCGAAAAATTACGAAGTAAAATCTTTTCTCATTATATCTATAAAGTGAATCGTTACATAGCATACAAATAGGTACATAGGCTAAATATAACTTTAACATTAGCAATTGTTCTAATATTTTGGGCAATTGGTGTCTGCGCGTGACAGTCCTAAGTCAATCTATTTCATCAACATAAAAATTAAATTGAGCACAGATTGCATTTTTTTTCCTACCTAAGCTGATAGGTTTGAGAGGCTATATCAGCGTAGCTTAACTAGTAGGTGAGCCCACGGGGCTCAAACCTGATGAGCTTAAATTTGCCTGTTCACGGCTTATCTTAGATTGAAATATATGTTACTATCTATAAATTAAGAACAGTTCTGAAAGTATATCAATTTGTACTCACATTATATTTTAATTAGGGCAACTACCAATTGATAGGTAGGTAGAATGGTTCATCAGTTAAGAGTTCTTGTCAGACGTGCAAGACTTAATATGTCTTCATCAATGATCGTTATCCAACAGTGTACTCGTAAGATTGTGATTTTATTTCAATTTGTCTTAAAATAAGGTATCTAAGTATTATGAATACGTTTTAATGAGAAACAAATTGATTTGAAATCATTAAAAATTTTGTTAACATGAAAAAAATGTTCTAACCGGATTATAATTAAGTTTTTCTTGTATGAATTTTCCAATGACGCTCTAGATTCCAGTCAGAAACAATTTGATAGTTAAATATTGAAAACTTAATAGACAGCCCAAGCCATCAAGCCTTTTCATTATAGTGCATTCATTTTTTATACATGTAGAATTTCACTAATACAAAACTTACTACATATACCTTATTTACATTAAAATTTCATACAATTTTATGGAATGGTGTGGACAATACCCGAAATTTGTTTCGAATTACTACAAAGATTCAAGAAACCTATGGCCTCTGAGTTGATAAACTTATATTTACATTTAAGATGAGACTTCTGTTTTATGTATTTCTTGTTTGCTACAAATACAATTTTTATTTTTTTCAATCCTGTTTATATTTTGTGATTTTTAATTGCGCGAATGATTTCAAAAAGTAGTATATATTTATCCATAAATTAAAAATAATACAGCTTGATAATTCCGAGGTCTATGGACTCGAATAACCACTTAACACCAAATGGGTTCTGAGCCTGTCTATGCAATAAAAAAAAATCGAGTGATGTGACTTCACTATCTTTTAAAAGAAACCTTATTGAGTCTGTGGCGTAGAATATAACTTTTATATATTTTTGTATGTTGTTTCTTTAGGATAATGTTAGTAAACGTATAATATGAAGAATGGTAATTTTTTTAACAAACTATAAAATTGTTAATGTTTTGAAAAGATCTCTAAACTAACTTTCAAAAACATTGTTCAGAAATAATCGATTCTACATTCAGATGAATCTCGATACTTTTAATATTCCCAGGATAATATTGCCATGTGAATAATGGCAAGCAAGCACTACACAGTCCCATTGTAAACTGTAAGCAAAAAAAAACAACCCATTTAATTTATTTCCCGTACGTCACAAGGACTTGTTATTTTTTTAAATTTCAATTTGGTATTTTTAAGAGCATCTTTGACATGCCCGCTGTAAATCATAAATTAATTAGTCTAGATTATATGTAATTTTTAAGTATTTTAGGTAGTGACTGCCAAAAAACAATAGATACAGCCGTTTTTTTTTTAAATAAAATAAATAATAATTTCATTAATAATATTAATTTGGAGCTCTTAAACGGTAAAAATGAATGACCGATCGAGGGTGTGTTGTGTAAGGCGTTGAAATGTACTTTTAAGCTCTGCTAAATAATTATTATGATTAAATATATTGTAAGTGAATCATGTGTTTTATTTAGTGTGGACGGATGACTGGATTGACTGTTTAACCATAAGGTTTGGTGCCCTTTATACCGATGTAGCCCACATATTAATGACGTCCTAAGCGTAGGGGGTGTTAAAAGGTTCGACTACACCATGACTACACCAACACGAAAATTAAAGTCGTCGTGGCCTAAAGGATAAGATGTCCGGTGCATTCGTGCTGAGCGATGCACCGGTGTTCGAATTCCGTAGGCGGGTACCAATTTTTCTAATGAAATACCTACGTACTCAACAAACGTTCACGATTGACTTCCACAGTGAAGGAATAACATCGTGTAATAAAAATCAAACCGCAAAATTATAATTTGCGTAATTACTGGTGGTAGGACCTCTTGTTAGTCCGCGCGGGTAGGTACCACCACCCTGCCTATTTCTGCCGTGAAGCAGTAATGCGTTTCGGTTTGAAGGGTGGGGCAGCCGTTGTAACTATACTGAGACCTTAGAACTGATATCTCAAGGTGGGTGGGGCGCATTTACGTTATATATGTCTATGTGCTCCAGTAACCACTTAACACCAGGTGGGCTGTGAGCTCGTCCACCAATCTAAGCAATAAAAAATACGATCGCATCTACAATACTTAGGGTAGGTAGCGGCTTGGCTCTGCCGCTGGCATTGCTGACCTGGGCCACATGCTCGTCTGCCTACAAGCCGTATCAGGCGGACCGTATGCTTGTTTGTCTAGAAGGGCAATAAAAATAATAAAAAAAACTTACACAATAATTGATTCGATTATAGGTACGTTTTTATTTTTTTGTGTATGAACATTATCGCTCATTACGGAACAAGTCTTTCGGATGTGGGTTTATTTTGTGGTTTAGCTCTGGCGTTATTAATTGTTTAGGTACCTATGCGATGTGTGAGAAGGCTAAGAAATTGGCCACGATATTTCATTATAATTTTTTCTCTAACTATGACTAAGCCGCTTGCCAAGTTAGTTAAAAGATGGACGACGATAAAAGTAACAAAAAATGGGCGAGTAAGATTCGTGCGTCAAGCTTTTCATACACGATAATAAATAATTAATCACGTATCCAAGGGAATCGATTTTTTACCTATCTTCTAAAATTAAAGGTATGAATTAATTATAAGTTAGAACTTTTTCAGTTGACATATTTTTATCAGCAAACTATTTAAATATACCTAACCTGTAAAAGCTTCATTAATACTCCAAGCAATTAAATAATTATCAAGCAATTAAAAAAAATTTTTTTTCAGCCGTTCTGAACCTAAAAGTTGAATTCAAAACGGATTTATGTTTTGCCAAAAAGACGCCAACATATGTTATGAAATCCGACAATCGTAAATAAGTAGGTATTAGTTGCTTTGTTGAAGTTTACAAGTTAATAAATATATTTATTTATAGCCGAGGGCTGCGTGTTGAGTATGTTGTCACACCCTTGTCGCCCACTCGCAGTGACACCCATCACGATGACGTCATTTTTAATGGGATTGTTTGCGCGTCTGGGAGCGGCTTTTTCGCACCAAGAATGATTTTAGTCCTAGTCGAATTTCTGTGACGGGTGGAAGCGACATGTTGTTGCGAATACTTATATTTTTTTTTTTTTTTTTTTTTTTTNCGGAATCGCGACCCGCTGAGAAGATCCGGCGAGAAACTCAGCGGGCTGATGCATGGGTTAGGTTGCACGTCGACCTCTTTGTCGAGTTCGACGAGTACGGTTACCGGGGTCCCTAAGCCTGCCCCTAGTATTAGAGCTGAAGGCATCTAATGCAAAGGTTATTGGATCTGATGGATCCGTAAGGACGTGTCTAGGGCGTCGACGGTGACTGGCTCCTGCATGATCAGGATTCGGGGAGTAGTCAGCGGCGGCAACGATAAGGCGATTATCATGACGCATAGCCTTATCGAAGTATCGTTCCGACGCTGACTTCATGTATTTCCGAATTGATTCGAGGCCCAGGTCGTCGTGTAGGTCAACGTTCCTCACGAACCACGGAGCCCCGACAGCTAACCTGCAAAAGCGGGATTGTAGGGATTGGAGGGTGTCTATGTGTGTGCGGGCCGCGTGAGCGAACACCACACTCGCGTAAGTCATGACGGGCCTTATGCAAGTTTTGATTTTTGTCTATCCTTTACCGTAGTATTTGCGAGAGGTGGCTTCGGTGGACGTAGTGGCGGTTCACATTCCTATCCCCATTCCACCGGATATTCTGGCGCAAGCCGAGGTGGCGCACATACTTATCCGCATTCCACGGGATATTCCGGCGTAAGCCGAGGCGGCACGCATACTTATCCGCATTCCAATAGCATCTCGGGACATTCCGAAAGTCGTAATGTTCACAACACTTATACACAGCAGCATAATGTCAATTATGGACATCGTACTGAAATTCATAATCATTATCACTACAATCCACCGCAGCAGGTTATGTATGGATCGACTTATCATCCCGTATATCACGGGACTCCTCCGACTTATATCTACGAATATAGGAACTCCGGAAGTCGTTTTGATACATTGCTAACAGGCCTCGCTTTATACAACTTGGGAAAAATGTCCGGTAGACAAGAGCATTACGGCGGATATAGAGAGTACACAACGAGGCCAGGTGAAATTTGTAAGCTTCGTGTGGAAAAAAGATCATGGGACTATGAAGAAACTCGGATCGACTGCAAATTGATGTCCAGTTTTATTTGGGAAGCGGAAACTACGTCGCAGAATCAACAAGCTTCGAATAAGGTTACTACAGTAGTCGAAACCGTGGCGAGCTCGAGTGGGACTCGAAATGCTGACGGGACCATAAGCAATACAAACATAACAAAAACGGTAACCGTCACAGATGCTCTACAGTCAAGAGGCCCGTCAATACAAGTGATGCCAGGAATGCAGTGCTACATGATTCGCATATCAAGAGACACTTCGGTTTTACAGAAACATGTCGATTGTGCTCTCTTACAAACCTACGCAAATTCTATGCATTATAATCGTGCTTCGTGTTTATTGAATTCGACAGTTATTTTTGTTATAATATTGCATTGCTTAATTAAATAATTTAATGTGATGATAACGTGTAAAAAGTTTAAATGTTTGTTTGATGTTCAACTTTAATTTGCCGTTCTGATATTTTAAAAATACATAACTATGCTCCGAATTCAGAAGTTCTTCTTGGAGTGGGTTAGCAGAAACTATTGTATGTAAATGTAACTAAAATTTTTAATTGAATTTTAACATTTTTTTTAATCGCGAAAACATGATTTAATTTTTGGTAAATGATTAAATTTTTTTTGTATTTTTGAACTTATTTTAAAATTAAAATAACGAAGATGTACATATACACAGTTTTTTATTGATAATAAATGATGTCAAAAATGATACATGTCATACAAAATCTTATTTTGTGAATAAAATTAGACTTTTGCTTTATCCGAGAAATGCTTTGGCAGGTTTTGCCAACATTCGTAATATTTGGGGTCCAATTTTTGACAGGTTTCCGCGCCCCACTTGGTGATGGCCAGACTCAAAGAAGATTCAAACATAAAAGCCTGTAAAAGGAAATTTTAATGTTAACTTCAATTTGGATTCAAAATGCATGCCCGGGATGAATTGGATTAAATTATTTTCTTAAACTTATGTCATATTTCATTCTTGTACTGATGTAGGTACCTATTTGAACAACTAGATTTATTGTATTTACTTACAAAATTAAAACAATTACGAAATTTGGTTCGCTAATAATAGTGTAGTTTTATTTTAATTTAAAAACTATTGTTTTATTTCTTTATTTTAAAACATTCAAATTAATTGTTATAGTTTACTAGATAGGTACCTGAGTTCCTACTGCAATTTTCTGCGGCACTAGTGCTCCATTGGATGCAGCGTTGAAACATTTGTCGTCAGGCCCGTGAGGTGTCATCATGGAATGCAGAGACGCACCGCCGGGAAGGAAACCGCCTTCTTTCGCCTCGTAAGAACCAAGAATCAACCCCATGAACTCGCTCATACAGTTTCCTGAAAAAGATTGTGGCCTTTCTATAGTCATAGGCAGCTACTGATTTACACATTTCAGAATATTATTGAAGTCAACGACCTTGAAATATGTGGTTGACGTTTCAGTTTTTTCGGAATAACAATTTGTCGTACCCAACCAAACGACGGAAGATATAAGTACTTCGGCACTGAAGTATGTTTTTAATAAGGATAGAGTATCGTAACGTTTTTATTTTTATTTTATTGCTTAGATGGGTGAACGAGCTCACAGCCCACCTGGTGTTAAGTGGTTACTGGAGCCTATTGTCATCTACAACGTAAATGCGCCACCTACCTTGAGATATAAGTTCTAAGGTCTCAGTATAATTACAACGGCTGCCCTACTCTTCAAACCGAAACGCATTACTGCTTCACGGCAGAAATAGGCAGGGTGGTGGTACCTACCCGCGCGGACTCACAAGAGGTCCTACCACCAGCTACATCCCACCATTATCGAATATAAATTTTTAAATATAAACTTATTTCTTCATTCGCAATCCTATTTAGACACGTGTTTTACTTCGGTTAGTTCTTATTACATTCAAATGATCTACGTACATAATATTTTTAGCCACTTAACATCAGGTGAACTTTCAGCTCGTACACCTATGCAAAAAATCAGACTCGAACCTGTACTATTGTATATTCAATTGGAGTATATCATTATAAATAATTTTCTGTATCTCTCAGTAAACAACGTTACTACGTAACTAAGTCATTTACGTTCAATGTATGTAAATGAACGAAGAGATATTGTATTGTGTACGTACTCGTTGAATTCTCATTATTTATACAGTAATGATATGAAAACAATTGAGCAATTAGCGTGCTATTCTGAATTGTTAGTTCGACCAAATACCTACATCTCAACAATATGTTTTTATTGAAGTAATTTTTCTAGTCTTATAACAAGGTGAACGTTTATGAATTATGCGCCTGTAAGTAAGTAAGTAATTTCTCGGTATTAGAAGCATAAGATCGGATATCCATGATTTCATTCCAATTGAATGCGTTTCAGTTTGAAGGGTGGGGCAGCCGTTGTAACTATACTGAGACCTTAACATTCCCGATCCTGCGGAAAGAATGGAAAGCAGTCGACGTCGCCCAAAACACGTCATCTCGGATCCTCCCGATCCACTAACGGTGCTTCTAGGTACTTCAAGCACCGGTCACCGTTCTCGTCGAACCCGTCGCTTGCGACGAAGGGCTCGACGAGTAAATTAACTCTCAGACACAGCCCACTGAGTTTCTCGCCGGATNCGTCATCTCGGATCCTCCCGATCCACTAACGGTGCTTCTAGGTACTTCAAGCACCGGTCACCGTTCTCGTCGAACCCGTCGCTTGCGACGAAGGGCTCGACGAGTAAATTAACTCTCAGACACAGCCCACTGAGTTTCTCGCCGGATCTTCTCAGTGGGTCGCGTTTCCGATCCGGTGGTAGATTCTGCGAAGCACGGCTCTTGCTAGAGTTCGTGTTAGCAACGTCGTCAGGTTTGAGCCCCGTGAGCTCACCTACTAGTTAAGGTTACGCTGGAATAGCCTCTCAAGGCTACCAGCTTAGGTAGGAAAAAAAAAAGAGACCTTAAAAGTTTTAAAACTCACATCTCAAGATAAGTGGCGCCATTTACGTTGTAGATGTATATGTGTTCCGGTAATCACTTAACACCAGGTGGACTGTGAGCTCGTCCATCCATCGAAGCAATAAAATAAAAAAACGGAATCCTGGTCGGTAGCACAAAAAAAATATCCGCTGAGGACAGGATTCGAACCTGCGCGGGTATAACCCATTGGATTTCAAGTCCAACTCCTTAACCACTCGGACACCTCAGCAACTACAAAAAGTTATGAATGTAACAACAACCACCTTTAAATAAAAATAATTAGCTGATAATTGCGTTCCCGTAAAATTAAGGCTTTTATTCTGGCAAGTTAAAAATATTAAGTATATAATATAATATATAAAATAAGAAGTAGTATTGATAAGTCGTAATACCTTTATTAGAAGACCACGTTAAAGCGATCAGTTTCAGTACAAGGTTCTGTCTAAAGTTCAATTCTATTAATTTCATAAAAAAATATACAAATATCTTAGTGCTCGTCTAACACGCAATTATAATAGCTTTCTGTACTCATTAGGAGCTATTGAATTTCGGTCAGGGTCCGCTGCGACTATCGGTAAATGTAAAAAAACATAAGTTTCCTGAAACTCCTCGCGTGCCACTTGTCTTATTTTGAGTGTTTTGAATCAAAGCCTATGTGCTATTTCGATGTGTAACCTATGAATAAGTTTCATAAAAAACCGTCCAGTAGTCTGTCTCCTTGCGTAAGATCAACAAACATCCATCCAACCTCACAAATGTTCGCATTTACAATTAATATTAATAGAATCAATAAATAAATACGGTTATTACCCTAACCTACTTTATTTGATTTGATTTGATTAAATAAAAAAAATGAAAAAAAGTGTTCTAATATTTCCTGGTATATATTACAAAATGTATATATAACGGCTCATTAAATTTAAATGCGAAGGATTAAAAATATTCGCTGAGGACAGGATTCGAACCTGCGCGGGTATGACCCATTGGATTTCAAGTCCAACTCCTTAACCACTCGGACACCTCAGCAACTACAAAAAACAATGAATGTAACAACAACCACCTTTAAATAAAAATAATTAGCTGATAATTGCTTTCCCGTAAAATTAAGGCTTTTATGCTGTCAAGTTAAAAATATGAAGTATATAATATAATATATAAAATAAGGTAATATTAATAAGTCGTAATACCTTTATTAGAAGACCACGTTAAAGCAATCAGTTTCAGTATAATGTTCTGTCTAAAGTTAAATTCTATTAATTTCATTAAAAAAAAATATGTATACAAATATCTTAGTGCTCATCTAACACGCAATAGCTTTCTGTACTCATTAGGAGCTATTGAATTTTGGTTACGGTCAGGCTCCGCTGCGACTATCGGTAAATGTAAAAAAAAAGTTTCCTGAAACTCCTCGCGCGCCTCTTATCGTATTTTGAGTGTTCTGAATCAAAGCCTCTATGTGCTATTCCGAAATATAACCTATGAATAAGTTTCATAAAAAACCGTCCAGTAGTCTGTCTCCTTGCGTAAGATCAACAAACATCCATCCACCCTCACAAATTTTCGCATTTACAATTCATATTAATAAAATCAATAAATAAATACGGTTATTATCCTAACCTACTTTATTTGATTTGATTTGATTAAATAAAAAAAAATGAAAAAAAGTCTTCTAATATTTTCTGGTATATATTACATTATGTACATATAACGGCCCATTAAATTTAACTGCGAAAGATTAAAAATATTCGCTGAGGACAGGATTCGAACCTGCGCGGGTATAACCCATTGGATTTCAAGTCCAACTCCTTAACCACTCGGACACCTCAGCAACTATGAAAAACAATGAATGTAACAACAACCACCTTTTAATAAAAATAATTAGCTGATAATTGCGTTCCCTTAAAATTAAGGCATTTATTCTGTCAAGTTAAAAAAGTAAACAAACACTTTAAATAATTAAAAAAACCAAAACTTTAATATATACATAGGTAGTTCAATAGTAAGTCTATTGAGGATTTCATTCTCGCCTTCTTAGTTCGACACTAGATCAGTTCAGTGGTACTATATATAATATATTATCATGTTGACATCAGAAACACATAAAATTATCAACTCTCATAATGGTACAACAGAGTAATGATGAAATAAACGTTACAGTAAAATATTTCACTAAGCACACCCGACGGGTATGTTAAACTATATAGTAAGTACATGTATAGTAAAATACATCACGTGTTAGGTAATTGAATACCCTGCGATCTTCAGGCGTACCTGGCGGTAAATAACTGTTTTGTTTATTTTTAAATTAGCCACCAATATCATTACCGCTAACATTACAGCTTTGCTATACTTAAGATACCAATAAAAATCAATTAAGTAGATGTTTGTTTGCGATCAAACGACTAATGCTATTATAATTCACCTTTTTTTGTGTTTGTTTAATGAGAAATAAGAAGTAATATTAATAAGTCGTAATACCTTTATTAGAAGATCACGTTAAAGCAATCAGTTTCAGTACAAGGTTCTGTCTAAAGTCTAAATTTCTATTAATTTTATAAAAAAAATATACATGTATGTATGTATGTATCTCCAAAACAATCTTAGTGCTCGTCTAACACGCAATAGCTGTCTGTACTTATTAGGAACTATTTATTGAATTTTGGTCACGGTCCGTTGTGACTATCGGTAAATGTAAATCAAGTTTCCTGAAACTCCTCGCGCGCCACTTGTCGTATTTTGAGTGTTCTGAATCAAAACCTATATGTGCTATTCCGAAAAATAACCTATGAATAAGTTTCATCAAAATCCGTCCAGTAGTCTGTCTCCTTGCGTAAGATCAACAAACATCCATCCACCCTCACAAATGTTCGCATTTACAATTCATATTAATAGAATCAATAAACAAATATGGTTATTACCCTAACCTATTTTATAAAGTAAAAAATAAATGAATAAAAAAATATCTTCTAATATTTTCTGGTATATATTACATTATGTATATATAACGGCTCATTAAATTTGAATGCGAAGAATTAAAAATATTCGCTGAGGACAGGATTCGAACCTGCGCGGGTATAACCCATTGGATTTCAAGTCCAACTCCTTAACCACTCGGACACCTCAGCAACTACATAAGGCAACGAATTTAACAGCAACCACCTTTAAATAAAAATAATTAGCTGATAATTGCGTTCCCGTAAAATTAAGGCTTTTATTCTGTCAAGTTAAAAAGTAAACAAACTCTTTAAATAATTGAAAAAACCAAAACTTTAATATACCTAGTCAGGTCATAAATTCTGTCACATATTTAATGTAAAATAATTGAAACAAGTTTATTGATTATGTAACCATTCATATACCAAAATGAACTTAACAAAACATAGATTCTTATGAAACTAAAGTTTATTCAAAATGACCTCCGTGATTTTGAATACAGGCCTTCAATCTGCGCGGCCAGTCGTCTATCGCAGCACGAACGAGGTCCATGTCTATATCGGCGGCAGCCTTAATCAAGGATGTCTTGAGTGATTCCAAATTGAGATGAGGCTTTGAGCACGCCTTTTCCTCCAAGTGTTGCCATATCTTGTAATCTAACGGATTCAAATCTGGACTGGAGGAGGGCCAGTCTTCGTGCCGGATGAAGTCGATTTCACGCGCCGCCAGCCAGTCTTGTGTGCTCTTCGCTCTACGAGCTGGCGCCGAATCTTGTTGGAATACCCAGTGCCTGTTATTGAACATGGTATGAGAAACAGGTTCCACAAGGTTCGTCAGGACTGTATTTTGATACACAATTGCATTCGTTTTTACACCTTTCTCACAAAAATGTACCTCTGTTAAGCCCCAATAAGAAACTCCCAACCATACCATGAGCGAGGATGGAAAATGACCTCGTTGGACACGCGGAATACGGTTGCTCGCTTCTTCACTACTGTGTGCGTACACCTTATCATTTTGTTTGTTGTAGCTCTCTTCTACGGTAAAAATTTTTTCATCCGAAAAAAGAATTTCCCGATATTTTTTTCCCGCGTACCGCTTCAACAAAGCGCGGCATCTCTTCAGTCTCAGGTCCATTAGACGAGCATTCAAACGATGTCCTGTTTTTCTTCGATATGCCCGAAGCCCTAAGTCTTCATTTAACACCCTTTTCACCGTGGTTCTGCTTAACCCCATCTGAAGGGCCAACAGTTTCTGCTTACGTTTGGGATTTCTTTGAATTCGCGCCTTCACAGCTTTTATCACTGCTGGAGTCCTAACAGACCGAGGGCGACCACTTCTTGACCTGTCATCTACACTAGAGTCTTCATTGTATCGTTTGATGGTACTATAAACGAATCTTTTGGTAATATTAAAATTTTTCAGTATGTTAAAAATTTGAATTGGCGCGTAACCGCAACGATGCAACGCAATAACTGCAACACGGTCTTCTTTAAGCGTCCACTCCATATTTAAAAAATGAGTAAAATTCTAAAAGTATACATTTGTATTTCCATGAACAATTCGAAATTCAAATTCAATAAACTTTTTTGTGGCCAACATTCTAAAAGAAAAGTTTTTACTGTGTGACGATACTTATGACCTGACTAGTTATGTATACATAGGTAGTTCAATAGTTAGTCTATTGAGGATTTCGTTCTCGCCTTCTTAGTTCGACACTAGATCAGTTCAGTGGTACTATAATATATTATCGTATTGTCATCAGAAACACATAAAATTATCAACTCTCATAATGGTACAACAGAGTAATGATGAAATAAACGTTACATTAAAATATTTCACTAAGCACACCCGACGGGTATGTTAAACTATATAGTAATTAGAGTCAAATCTGGGTAAGTGAGAACTGGGTAAGTGAGAAAACTCGATAAGTGAGAGTAATAGCCAGGACCCGTCATTTCAAGCTCTTAAAACCTCTATTAGCGAGAAACAGAAACCTACCTACAGAAACCTACCTAAAACGACTCTCTCTTACAGAAGAGAGAGTCGTTTTTCCCATATGGACCTCCGTTAGTGAGACTGCTACTTATCTATACCTCTATCAGCGACAGTCGAGCTTTATTTATTTACATATATTATTTAGAAGGAACAAATGAAAAAACAAATTACAAATTTAACATCTGCTATTTTATGATCCATTCTTAACTTTCGTGGAACTTCCTAACATTGTTTTTGTATTTTTTTCTCGTCAATATTGAACCTATTCTATTTCGTGGAGCTAACACAGGAATACATTTTTTTTTTTATGATTTAAGTGTTACTGGTGGCCTTGAGGCCTTTCCAGTTTCACCAGGACAGGTGGGCGAGCAAAGGCTCAGCTAGGAGGGGTGGGTTTGCTAACAGCTACCCGAGCGCCTCCGAAGGAGACCTAACTACCAGAACGGAATCGCGACCCGCTGAGAAGATCCGGAAAGAAACTCAGCGGGCTGATGCATGGGGTAGGTTGCACGTCGAACTCTTTGTCGAGTTTGACGAGTACGGCTACCGGGGTTCCTCAGCCTGCTCCTAGTGTTAGAGCTGAAGGTATCTAATGCAAGAGTTATTGGATCTGGTGGATCCGTAACCCTCACAAGCTTCCGCATTTACAATTAATATTAAGCGAATCAATAAATAAATAAATAGGGTTATTACCCTACCTACTTTATTAAGTAAAAAATAAATGAATAAAAAAATATCTTCTAATATTTTCTGGTATATATTACATTATGTATATATAGCGGCTCATTAAATTTAAATGCGAAGGATTAAAAAAATATTCGCTGAGGACAGGATTCGAACCTGCGCGGGTATAACCCATTGGATTTCAAGTCCAACTCCTTAACCACTCGGACACCTCAGCTACGTTGTTACAAACTAAAACATATGATAATCTGCTCAGTAATAGTTTGTATTTATCTTCAGTTAAATAGTTATTTGTAAGAGAATCTGTTGTTAGCAACACGTTTGAAACAATTAATTGCAGACGAATTGTTGTCACAAGCACTATTATTATTACTTACTGTGGTAATAAGGAGGTCTGAAAGTGTGCTCCTGCACAGACCATCTGGGTGGGAATATTACGAAATCAGCGATGGCGATCCCAGGTTTTGCAGAAGGACACGTCAACACCGTAAATATTGAAGGGTCCTAATGAAAACAAAAAAAATACTATTACTAGAATCAAGATTATTGTTACTATTAACTCTTATTCTGCTAAATAAATTAGATCCGGGCATATTGTGAACTATCTGTTTTTGTTACACATTCCGTCTTTCAATTATGTTTGAATGTGAAAAATATTTCCTGAATTACAAGTAACCACCTCAAGGCTTCGATCGCACGCACGCTCTATACATTTTCAATATAAATATTAGTTAACATTATACTATTAGTCATTAGATAAAAAATTTTTTTTTTTTATTACCCCTTTAGGCAGACGAGCTTACGGCCCACCTAATGGTGAGTGGTTACCGTCGCCCATGGACTTCAGCAATGCCAGGGGCAGAGCCAAGCCGCTGTCTACCGTTAATTCCCTATTTTCAACGTACTCGTAAATATTCTGTTCAATTACATTAACGAAGGTGCGTGTCTGAAAACAATTTTATTGACTTAACATAATTCTTTGCATTATGTACTCAGTCTGTTTGTTTTACGGGCGGAGTACGCGACCAATTAATGTAGATCTTTCTTACATTCGTTGTTACTTTATAATTTACAAGTATTAATGTTTTAAGGAGCTCAACAACAAAAACAAAAGAGGATCGGTCTACAAAAGAGTTAGGTTATAAATAATATTCTATCATAGTCTAATTATGTTGGTTTTCAAACGGTAACAATTAAGAAGTATAAGGACTGCTCTGAGGCATTGTTCATCATCATCTCCTTTTTATCATCGCACCTCCCGCCATCGGAGCAGAGTTCATCCATATTATCTGGAACCGCTGCGTTCATTGACAGTGCGTTTCCAGAGGTCTTTTTTGCCACGTACCATCCGGCTATGGAATGAGTCCCTCCACGGTGTTTCCCGAGCTCTATGACATGTCCTTCTTCAAACGAGGCTTGTGGAGAGTATTAAGCGGTAGGCAGCGGCTTGGCTCTGCCCCTGGCATTGCTGAAGTCCATGGGCGACGGTTAACGGCCCACCTAATGGTGGGCCGTTAACCGTCGCATAATAGCCTTAGTCTGCCTACAAGGGCAAAAAAAGACGCTCTCTCGGTGTTATTTCAAGAATATGAGTAATAATTAAGTCAAATTTAGTTTTTAAAGGCTATATTAAGCTTATATTGTATATATATAGAAAATATATGGAAACTTACACAATGATCGTACAAAACAGCGTTGATAACCATAAAGTTGTTTAGATCGTATTTGTAAGGCACATAGTTTCCGTGCCAAGCAACTACGTCGAACGGATTGTGATTTTGTTCGGCAACAAATAGAAACCCTTGGTACTTGTTGAAGATCTGGAAACCTGTTGAATTTAAACACGTGCTGTGATACGACCCTTGTATCAAGGGACAATCTTCATGAATGCATCAAGAAATTTTAGAACTGGCGTGATAAAACATAATATTTTTTTATAGTTCGAAGGTTTTTGCAAATCAAGTAATAAAGTTTAGGTACAGATTACATTGATAAAACCAGTATTTCTTTATTTAGTTGTACCAACAAAGTGATCACTAATTCAAGACATCGCTGAATTGATAAGAAGGTACGAGATAAGCGTCACCTCAACTTTAAATAGTAATAATTGGCATGGTTCTATTAAAAAAGAACCATGATGTTGCTAAGAATAATAATAAAAGTGAATTTGAGTAACAAACCAGGAGTTTCTTCATCAACATAGTGAGCTACCGGTGTTAGAAAATCCCTCGGATTCGCCAGTCCATTAGCTCCGATAGGTCCAAGATCAGGCAGCTTAAAATGACCGTCGAAAACTTCTAATATGTACCCCCTAAGAAATACATTATAAAATACTTGTAGCAAAGTTAATTGAACACAAAAAAAGTTAATTTCCAGTGTCATTACCAATAATTTTACCCAACAAAGAGTTGTAAACTCGCGTCTTCATCAAAGACCTTAGTCTTTTATTGTACTAAATAGACCGGAGTAAAGGTTATTAAATTAAATATTAAATAACTGGAAAGAAAGCACTAACGGTCATCGGGCCCAAATTAGGATTCCCTGTGTTATGGATACCAGGGACTGAACATATATTTATGTGCGTTTAAATATATAAACATATTTAGATAATAAGAACCCAGACAAAGAGCAAACAAACCTGTTGATGACACGAATCTTTGCCAGATGTGAGAATTGAACCCACGACCCTCGGTGCAACAGTTAGGTCCGCTAACTGCATCACCGGGTCAGTTTAAATGTTATTTAGATTGCTTTGCATTTTTATTTATTTAAGAACGAGCTGACCCGGCAGACTTCGTAGTGCCTCAATCGATAAATAAAAGAACTAAGCTTTTGTATAAAATAAACTTAAAACAAATAAAAGGAATCCGTCCGACGGGGGATACACAAAGGAAAAACAATTTTTTTATTTTTATTTAATTCCGAACATTTTCCGAACAATTCAAGACCAGAATTAGTCAAATCGGTCCAGCCATTCTCGAGTTTTGACGAGACTAACGAACAGCAATTCATTTTTATATAGATAGATAGATGAACAATTTCTACCTGGTAGGACCCTCAACAAATACAGCGAATCTCATTCCAAGTTGAATAACGGCAATTTCATTCGGGGCCACCTCCATTAGACCAAATTCAGTGGTGATCTTCAATTTGCCTTGCTGTGGCACTGCAATGTAATATTCAAATACAAAGCATAATACAAATTAAGCCGATTAGTTGAAAGCTACTTTGAAATTCAACAGTTGTAGATTCTATTACAAGTGCTAATGTAATTTGCGCTACTAAACAAACATTTCTACCGAGCAAGAAGGTTATCTTTAGATCGATTTTAAAATTGAATTCCTTAATATATCTCTGAAAAACAAAAGCTATCTTAACAGGTTCTCTTTCGTAGATTCAAATGTCAATATTTAAATTACAAATAGGTATATAGAAATAACCTTTCTAAGTCAATACGTCTGAGCAGATTATGTATTTTAATGTAACTTATTCATCAATCCAATTGAGTTCTTCTTCTTCTTATCAGCCCACAGACGTCCACTGCTGGACATAGGCCTCCCCCAAGCCTCGCTACAAAGACCGGTCCTGCGCTGCCTGCATTCAGCGGATCCCCGCGAGCCTCGATAGATCGTCGGTCCATCTTGTGGGAGGCCTACCCACGCTACGCCTTCCGGTACGCGGTCACCACTCAAGAACTTTCTGGCTCCAACTGTCATCCGTTCTACGAGCAATGTGTCCTGCCCACTGCCAATTGATTAGTTTATAATTATTTTTACAAAGTATATTTTACCGATTAGAAAGTCTCCGTCGCTGCTGTAAAATGCGCTTTTATCCATGGAAGCGTTGCACAAGTACACGTGGATGGCTATTCCATGTCTAGAGCGAGGATCGCCAGCACCACACACCGTATGGAGTCCGGTCACAAAGTCCACAGACTCGTCTGATGGAATGTCGAAGGGAAGCCAGCGAGACTAGCATGTAAATAAAGTATAAACATGGTTTTTCTCAACAATAGTAGATGGAATCTTGACCATATCGTTCCTTCAAATTTAATCATGAGTGTATTTATTTTATATTTTGAGCATTATAGATATAATTAACTAAAATGATTTATTGTTTAATAACGTGCTTCACGGAAAGCTAAGTATTCTATTAATAGTACAAAATTTACAAAAAATTAATACGACTTCAAAATAAATGAGAATTTGATCAATATACCTAGTTGAAATCAGTTAAATATATATTTTTCAGGATAACTCAAATACTACTAGTCAACTTGTGATAAATTTTAAATAGAACTACATGAGAAGCACCATACCAGCTTCCAAAATAAAACGACGCATCAAAATCATGGGAACCACTTTTTTGGGATCGGTTGAAAAATCAATAAAATACGGAAATGTGTCTATCTGACGGTCAACTTCACGTTCAGTGGTTAGCAGGGAACGAAGACATGGTGTCATTCATCTCAAAACACAAGGTCGAATACTGAAGTTCTATTGTCTACTCAAATTGTATCGGCTAGTCTGTCCCTGCGTCCTCCTCACAAATAGGCTGGATGGTTGTTCCCTCGCTTACCCAACACACCAGATAATATTAAACTATGAATCTTTCTTTGGACCTTCTCCTTACGTCGTATTCCTCAACGATCGGGCACCTTTCTGTATCACTTTCTCTCGCACGATTGTTGGGTCGCCCAAAAACCTCACTCTTGCTAATACTGAATCCATGTAGAGATTTTCATGGGAATGTAATAGCGGTGGGTTCCCACGTCCTTCCGCGTCAGACTTTTAGAGGATATTTAGATCTTCACGTTTACTGGTTGTCGCCTCGGGACGCCAACATTGCGTAAGGATGTCAGGTTAATCATCGCTGCCCGATATTCGACGTTGATTATTCTTTAGACCAACATCCGAATAATTCAATAATGTGCACAAGATTGTATCAGATCAATCCTTGTTGTTGATTAGTATTTTCTTCGGTTTTCATGAGTCGTAGACATAATTACAAGACTCTTACGTCTTAATCTTGCGTTATTTCAATAAAAATAAACTGTAAAATTGGTTTTAATTAATAGTCGATATGTTATTTTTTTTATCAACCACGAGTTTGTTAATGGTCGATTTTTACTATCTTGCACAGGACAACATACAATATTTACATACTAGTATTACACATATTAGTATTTAAAATAAACAAAAACTATTAGTTACCTTTTATTTCAATGAAATCGAAGGGTGACAGGCTATTTGATATAAGGGCTATTTCAGTTAATACGCTACATTTATCTTTGTAATTAAAGGTGCGTTTTATTTGGTATAAGCGTCAACAGTTCGACGTTTTGAATTGAACTTCAACTACTGGTGGTAGGACCTCTTGTGAGTCCGCACGGGTAGGGACCACCACCCCGCCTATTTCCGCCGTGAAGCAGTAATGCGTTTCGGTTCGAAGGGTGGAGTAGCCGTTGTACCTAACTATACTGAGACCTTAGAACTTATATCTCGAGGTGGGTGGCGCATTTACGTTGTAGATGTCTATGGGCTCCAGTAACCACTTAACACCAGGTGGGCTGTGAGCTCGTCCATCCATCTAAGCAATAAAATAAAAAAAGTTCGATGTTTTGAATTGAGCTTCAACTAAGTTTACTCCATTCAAATAGCCGAAGAACTTTTTTGCTATGATATTAATTAGAGATGAAACGGATAGTGGTTTGGCCGGATAACGGATACCGAATATTCGGCAAGCTGCGAGGTCGAGGCGAAAAGTTATCCATAGCCTATTGTGGTATTAATTGCCTTTTGTATAACCATGAGATTTTCTTAAATTTTACTATTCGAAACCCGGCCGGATAGTGATTTACTATCCGGTATCCGGCCATATAGTGAACACATGGCCGGATAGGCCGGATACCGGATAGTTACCGGATATCCGTTTCATCTCTAATATTTATTCCAAATTTTAAACTTTTTAAAGGGCTCTCCTGTAAAGTTGCATAAATGACGCTTAAACCAAATAGCCTTTCACCGCTCGAAATGATTTAAATTTTATTGGTATATAATGTTAGATGTACGTGCAATTGATCGCAATCTTACTTGATTAGGATCCGGCTCTTGTTCATCCCAGTTGTGCGTGAGATGTTTGGCAATGTCTAATTTCTTGAACGGCTTATGTACAACGGAGGGACGTATTCTGTGAGTAATAAAAACAAATACTGAAAATCATCTCTCTGTGTCTCATGCCTATTTTGACATGAACTTTTTTTGTATTAATAATACACAAAGAATACAGTAAAGAATACTCTCTCTCTCTCTCTCTCTCTCTCTCTCCCACCTCTCTCTCGCAAATAATATTTACACGGGAACTGTTTCTAGTTTAAAAAAAATACGGACCGTGAAAATATATTTTAAGCTGGATAATTTATAGACTTCATTGCTTAACCGGTTGAACGAGCTCACGGTCCACCTGATGTTAAGCGCTTACCGGAGCCCATAGACATCTACGACGTAAATGCGCTACCCACCTTGAGATATAAGTTCTAAGGTCTCAAGTATAGTTACAACGGTGCCCTACCCTTCAAACCGAAACGCATTGCTTCTTCGCGGCAGAAATAGGCAGGGTGGTGGTACCTACCCGCGCGGACTCACAAGAGGTCATACCGCCAGTAAAAAGGTATCACAAATGGGCGTCGATTGGCTTCTATAACTGGCTGCTCAAATATTTCGGTTGCCGCAGCCAGGCTGCCTAGTGCGCAGTGAGTCTTATACGTACGAGTCTAGTCTACGACGTCTCCAAAATTATAATATAAACTTTCTTTAAATCAACTTTATTCACTTACCTATACAACCAGGATCTTTTGTTCTCGTGCCTTGGAGCGGTGAAAGCTGTACCTGATAATTGTTCGGCATAGAGACCATAGGGGCATTTCTGTGGGCTGTTCTGACCGATCGGAAGCGATCCCGGCTTCCGCGGGTCCTCTGAAGAAAACTCCGAACCAAAGCCCGATAGATACTGTTCATAATGACGTTTTTAATGTTAATAAATTTTTCCAACAATGTTAGTAACATTCTTAGTTTTATAAAGGGCGTATTTTAGAACGATTTCCGAAAATTTAGGCAGGTGGTATTGGCATATTCCTTTGCTTATAGAATCACAAAACAAAAAAGGATTTTTGAAGTTATACTTCTTTAAGCGCGTTATGAAAAATTGATGAGAGTGAAATTTTACGATGCGCCCGCACCGTGACACAAAATTAACAGAATGAAGTTGCCCACTAAATCGCTCATTACAATGCGACCGACGTAACTTGGCGAGTCTGAATATAGCCGCAGGTGAACTTTCCGAACCGTACAGAGAATTACCGAATTTATACGATGTCAAGAAAAGGGATGTCCAATATGCGTGTTTGAGGATGTTGTTTACCTAATCGATTTTTTTTCAAATTGATTAAAATGTCAATAAAAAAAAGAAATAAATTTAATAAAAATAAAGTATAACTTCTTACGCACGTACATAAGTACACGCACCCTTTGTTTCGTTGATTAAAAAAACGATAAAGTCTATCGTTAATCGTCTTCGACTTTCGAAAACGAGTGTAATACATTCTAATCAAATACCTACTACATACAGTACATTTTTCCATTATTTGAATAAAATATGTCATATTGCGAGCATATGTGATATGATATTAGATATAACAAAATGTCAATTCTGTTTTTTTTAAATCTATTTGTAAGTACCATTTCCTTTACTGTATAAGGCTTGGGGACAGTCTTCAACAGTAGAGAGTTGTTCGACTGCGCCGCTAACATTACCGATGTCCTTGAGTGATGGTAACTACTTAACATCAGGTACGGGCTCAAAAGCACAAATATAACAAATTGCGCATTTAAAAAAACGTTTTTGTGCGCGGCAATGAAATGCATTTATGGCATACATATACAACACAATTTTAGCGGGAAATAACAAAAATATAACCAAGATAAAATCTTTACCTACCTTTAATTCGGTCATTTTGTCACATAAACGATTACAAGTTTTCACTGATGCCGAGACGGCGAGATACTGGGCGTTCTGATTCCGAGATGTTTACGTCTTTACGACAATACCGGACCGCTATGCTAATCGAACTGGTTTGTTTATTATAAGATACAGATATATCGAAAAACAAAATGACATTCATAGAGCTGATATCCGAGCTCAGGTACCTACAAACAAGATAAAGAACACAGCTTACCAAACCGTTCACTGCAAATATTTTGTACAATTTATTATTACTGTATATTAAAAGATCTGATGTAATATTTGGATCTTGAGGAAGCTAGGTCAAATACTTTTACAACGAATTGAATATGTTTCTAATTTTTATTTTTATTTCATTAACTCAAAGTGTACTTATAAATGATTTTAGAGAAAGCGTCACGTTTTCTTCTATATTTATGAACAGTTAAGCGAATTTCAATTAATAGGAGTCTCATTCATGTGCTCAATGTACAATATAAAATGAATGTGCAAAAAAACATTAATTAAATTAACTTAGACGCCCTGGTATAGAATGCGACTGTTTAGATTTGCTGCATCTTTTGACTACGTTCATCGCTTAGTGTTGATCACATTATCTGTTTATCAGATCAGAAAAAAACCTCAAGACTTTATCTAAACATTACATTATCTCGTTTATTTTGTCATTGATAACAAAAATGAAAATATAATAATGTTGACAACACTAAAGCACGTTACATTAAAACAAAAAAAAAAAAAAAAAAAATTCTTAAATAAAAAAAATACAAGAAAACAAACAACAAAAACCCCGACTGCATCATGCAAAATAGTAACAATATGCTACAAACAAGATCTATAAAATCTATTGTGTGCTAGATTACAATATTTTATAATTTAAAATTACAATATTTTATACAGCAGAAATGTTAGTAATGGTAAATGGTACAGATTTTTTTTTAAAATTGATTACCAAGAATGGTGAATAGACGTCACAACATGAATGTTGTAACCCACGTTGAGATATGAGGTCGACTGTATTGCTATAAACTAATTACACCTCAAATGCTCTCTGAAGAGTTATACTCTAGAGGGTGTAAAAGAATAAGAATAAAATAATACTAAACAGTCGGCTGAAACTCTAAAGGTAAAGGAGGCCGGCAGACCAACGAGTACCCAGGGCTTCTTATCAGCAAGGTATGTTAGACAGCTTGGGGTATTTTATTACAAATTTAGCATTGTTTAACGTCCGTCTGGTGTAGTGGTAAGTGACATAGTCACTACACTAGGGGGTCGCGGGTTCGAATCCCGCCAAGGGAAGATATTTGTATTATAAAAATATAAATGTCTTTTCCAGGGTTATGGATGTATATTAAATATATGTTTTTTTTTTTTTTATTTTTTTTATTGCTTAGATGGGTGGACGAACTCACAGCCCACCTGGTGTTAAGTGGTTACTGGAGCCCATAGACATCTACAACGTAAATGCGCCACCCACCTTGAGATATAAGTTCTAAGGTCTCAGTATAGTGACAACGGCTACCCCACCCTTCGAACCGAAACGCATTACTGCTTCACGGCGGAAATAGGCGGGGTGGTGGTACCTACCCGTGCGGACTCCCAAGCGGTCCTACCACCAGTGATTACGCAAATTATAATTTTGCGGGTTTGATTTTTATTACACGATGTTATTCCTTCACCGTGGACGTCAATCGTGAACATTTGTTGAGTACGTATTTCATTAGAAAANGCGCCACCCACCTTGAGATATAAGTTCTAAGGTCTCAGTATAGTGACAACGGCTACCCCACCCTTCGAACCGAAACGCATTACTGCTTCACGGCGGAAATAGGCGGGGTGGTGGTACCTACCCGTGCGGACTCCCAAGAGGTCCTACCACCAGTGATTACGCAAATTATAATTTTGCGGGTTTGATTTTTATTACACGATGTATGTGTAAAATAAAAATCTTACATTTATTTCCGATATCTGGTACCTGTAACACAAGTTCTTTACGAACTTATCACGGGACCAGTTAACGTGGCGTGATTGTTAGTAAAATATTTATATTATTTATATTGGTAAATTGTTTTTTTTAAATTATATTGGAAGACGTCGTGGCCCAAAGGATAAGACGTCCGGTGCATTTGTATCTAGCGATGCACCGTGGTTCTAATCCCGCAGGCGGGTAAGTACCAATTTTGCTAATAAAATACGTACTTAACAAATGTTCACGATTGATTTCCACGGTGAAGGAATAACATCGTGTAATAAAAATCAAACCCACAAAATTATAATTTGCGTAATTACAGGTGAAAGGACTTATTGTGAGTCCGCACGGATAAGTACCACCACACTGCCTATTTCTGCCGTGAAGCAGTAATGCGTTTCGGTTTGAAGGGTGGGGCAGCCGTTGTAACTATAATGAGACCTTAGAACTTATATCTCAAGGTGGGTGGCGTATTTACGTTATAGAGGTATATGGGCTCTAGTAACCACTTTACACCAGGTGGACTGTGAGCTCGTCCACCCATCTAAGCAATAAAAAAACATTATGCATCTGTGAGATATGTTTACATATCAATATATAGCATAAGCAAGTATATAGCATAAACATTATGGTAATGAAACAACTGGCTCCGTTCGTTCGAGAAAATCCTTTAAAATCTCGTTCCATTAAACCGGTCTTAATTGTAGGAATGTTCGTAAACAGAATTGCACAATATTTGTAAAAAAAACAAAGAACAATGTTTTGCATGTTGCGCTAGAATTTACTAGAAAATTTTAGAATTGCTTTTCTCTCCTTAATGCTCCGAAAGTACCGTATGGTAATGTTCCGAATGAGGTGCCTGCAGTGTCTTTATTGTGTCATTAGGATAATTTTATACAAAGAGAATATTATTATCTGAAATACGAGCAGGCGAGATTATCATTGAGATTGTGTCCCACAAGCACATTAAAATTATCTTCATAAACGTCATGATGATGAAAATTTCATCGAACGGGCGATAATATATGCGAAGACCTTAAGTCAATTAGAAGTCAGTAGTGAGTTTATTGACGCTAAGGATGAATATTCTTTCTTGATTTTCGAGTCTGCTTAGTGAGAGCAACTATTAAAAGCCCTAATTGCGCACTAGATAACATTTAGTTTACTAAAATTTTGCGTGTTTCTGTCAGTGTGCTATTAGCTCCAATAGTAAGACAGCTGTAAGAAAGAAATTGAGACTTCAAGCTTATCTCGGATTGGGCTGCAGAATTCACATTGTGGTATCTGTATGTGGGCCAGGGTAGGCACCTAATACATAATATGTAGTTACAGTCTGAGTTTCCTTATCTTTGTCAATAAGTATAGGTCTACTGCATATACTGTTTTGTCTTTTTGGGCCATAGATAAGTAGTTAAAACAAACCATTTCCGAATCAGGAATAAATTGCGACCCTAGTTACGTAATTGTTAACTAAATCGATATCTCTATATGACAATAAATAGAAAAACAGTTAAGGAACAGTTACTGCTGTTTATCAGTCAATTTCATTCTTTTTTTTTTGGTAGCTTTTGACGGGGTTTGTCAATAAAAAATAGCTAATATAAATTATTTTATTTTGTAAAATATCAAGAACAATAAAGAAAACATGTAAGTAATGCATATGTTTCTAAATCTTTAGGTGTGGTTATGGACTTAATATGGCCTAATTCTGTCCATTGAGTAAACTCTGATGCTAGGGAGTAAGAGAATCCCGTGCGAGTAGGCTTCCAACATCTTGCTTATTGCGGTCGCGAAGCAGTTTCGGCTGGAAGCATTTTTTTTATTGCTTAGATGGGTGGACGAGCTCACAGCCCACCTGGTGTTATGTGGTTACTGGAGCTCATAGATATTTACAACGTAAATGCGCCACCCACCTTTGAGATATAAGTTCTAAGGTATAATATACCTAGTCAGGTCATAAATTCTGTCACATGTTTAATGTAAAATAATTGAAACAAGTTTATTCATTATGTAACCATTCATATACCAAAATGAACTTAACAAAACATAGATTCTTATGACACTAAAGTTTATTCAAAATGACCTCCGTGATTTTGAATACAGGCCTTCAATCTGCGCGGCCAGTCGTCTATCGNTGTACAACAAAATCCCACAAGATGTTCAGAACCTACATATACATAGGTTTAAGAAAACTATTAAAGAACATCTGTGCAATAAAGCTTACTATAAAGTCAATGATTATCTAGAAGATTGCACAAAGTGGGAATGAGTTGCTCGCTCCAGGCATTTCAATATTGTAGTAATTGTTACGTTATATTACTCATTGTAAAAAATACATATTTAAAAAAAATCGAATATTAAAAAATAAATAAATAATAATTTCATATGTAAAAAAAAAAGACATGCCCGCTGAGTTTCTTGCCAATTCTTCTCAGGACGGAGGCTAGTTCTTGTGAATTGGCGGTAGTTTTTTTTGACGTTCAACAAGTATGTACTTTCATTTATGTTGAATAAAAATTTTTGATTTGATTTGGACTCACAAGTGATCCTACCACCAGTTATCTATCATATACGGCATATACGCCATATTTAATTTATTTTTCTACGATTCTTGTCCTCTGATGGTCCAACCTTGGACAGGTTGCTCTTAGAGATGCAATCACCCATTATACTTTTTCCATTTAATGTTTTTCCTATTTTTGTTATTAAATTGATGTATGAAAGATCATATTCTCTATCTCGCTCTCGCTCTGTCTTCATCTGCAATTATTCCATCGCTTACTCACAAATACTTATTACTATTACTTTTATTTCCTTAAAAAATTTAAAATAAAAAAACAACAGCTTTTACTATTTATTTATTTTTCTTTATGTGAACAATATAATGAAGCATAATTCAATATATCCTAACTATATTTTGAGAACAATATCTTTAATCTTGGCCATACATATTTAAGCCAACATTTACATAAATCGGGAGTATTTAAATGTAAAACCTACAATGTTGATACTGTAGCAAAACATA